CATATTATACTAATAAAATCCTAACTTCAACAATCTTTAAGAATGCCACACTAAACGAACCCCTTTAAGTCCATCATCACATAAAAAGCCTCAGTGAAGACTATTAAAAAGATTTTTGCTTATTTTTTTGTATTTTTGCTCTATTTTTTCCCAATCATAAGTCAATTTAATTTAAGAAAGCACACTCATCGAATTAAATGAGATGTGAAGTTTTGCATGATTTAAGACTAAATAAAGTACACATGTTCAAAATATATATGTTCAAGCTGTATTATTAATTGGATCTTGCCTCTATACATATGAGATCAAGGCTGCCTGTCTTCCTGGCTTTTACAATGAGACACTGAATGTACTTGTGAGGAAAGGAAAGACACAAGGAAGTCCGGAGAGAAAAAAAGAGGAAAAGATAAAGAAAGAAACTGGTGGAACAGAGGTAAAGATAGTAGGCTGAGCATGTAGGAGGAGGTGAATAAGTAAGGAGGAAAGGAGGGAAAGGAAAGACAGAGGGTGGAGAAGAGATGAGCATTCCTCAGCAGGGGCGTGAGCCACTGTGCATGTGTGTGCGTGCGTCTCCGAACTCACATATCCCAAAATTACTGGGAGGTAACTTAATTCGATTTCTAACTCGAAGATGATGGCGAAGACAGAGAGCGGCAGGAGGGAGGGTGGAAAGAGAATGTGAAAGCTGACTTAGCATGTGATGACAGAAATAGAAGAGAAGGAGAATGACTAAGAGGGGAGAAAAATGGGAGTGGGAGGAAAACAAAAAGCCAGAAAACACTGAAAGAATTAGACAGAAAAAGAGAAAGTGGCAGGACGGCGAGAGCAGGCAGTGAAACGGATTGTGTTAAATGGGTGTGATTTATCTGGAGGAAAGAATGGGAATGAAAGTGAAAGGAGAGGGGGGGTGAGCGTACAGAACATATTTTCCAATAAGAGAGATCATGCCTTGGCATGTGCATTCACTCACTGTTATGGCACAGCACAGTCACACACATGCACACGCACAAAGCAGTGTGTGCATGTGTGTGTGTGTGTGAAGGCAGCTGAGGATTAGTGTAGGGCTGGCAGCTGGCCAAGTACATGACAGATTAATCAACTTATCATGTGCTCCTTTGTTTGATCTATTCTCACACACTGAACCACTTTGAATTAATGCGGACACGCAAAACACACATCTGAACTCAGCATATCAGGAGCCACGCAGACACCGCGCATGTTCCAACACCTGTGAAACTGGCTGAAATTTCTCTTACACTGATTTAATATTTGGTGATGTAATTTCACAACCTGAAATCCGTTCCCACTTTTTTTCCGCATTTAAACATCAAAGCCTGTCACACACACACACACACACACACACAAACACACACGCATGCAGAGATCAGAGCAGGTGTTAAATTGCCAATGTGACAAACTAGTACATGGGCCAGTGACATGGTTGTATCAGCAAAAGTGGATGACACGATCAGTTCAGGTTTATGTGTAAAATGTTATAGGAACTGATGACACCACTATGACAGAAATGTGACATCATCTGTTAGCTCGCCAATCAAGCATAAAGCCTTGTCTTCACATTAAGTACGGCTGCAACGATCTTTAGAAGCTTTAGGTGTCTGCTGCCACCACCAAATCCTGGAATGACTCATTTACACTTAAAAACATCATAAGACACCGTTTAACTCCACCTAGACATACCATCACCTTCTTCCAACAAATACAACCCCAATCCCAAAAAACTGGATTCTACATAAAATGTAAACAAAAAACAGAATGCAACAATTTATAAATCTCGTAACCCCTTAATCTATTCATAATTGAACACAAAAACATATATAACCTGGAAAATGTACCATTATAAGGAACAAATAAGATCATCTTGAAGCAACATTATTGAAGCAGCACATCTCAAAAAGTTCAGAAGAGTCTGCAAACATCTGAAAACTGAGGAGACCAGGTGCTGGACAGAGTTGCTGGACATTTGGGAATGTTGTCCTATTCTTGAGTCTAGCTGCTCAACAGTCCTTCGTCTTCTTTAACCTGTGTTTCGTTTCATGATAGGCCAAATGTTTTCAGCTGGTGAAAGGTCTGGGATGAAGGCAGGCCAGTTCAGCACTCAGACTCTTCTACTACAAAGCCATATCGTTGTATTGGATACAATACGCAGTTTAGCGTTGTCTTACTGAAATTTGCAAGGATTTCAGTTAAAAGACACCATCTGGATGGCACATGTTGCTCTAAAATGTGTATATTCTCTTCAGCGCCCATAGTCCCCCATACCATTAGAGAAACGAGTGCTATAACGCTGACAACATTCAAATCTATTTCCAATTGTCTAATGACCTGCCAGCTTCATTGAATCGTTTGTCTGACTGCTTGAAAGAGGTTACAGAGCAGCTGTCAGCCCTTTCTCTCATTTTAAATGAGAAGAAAACTGAGATTACGGTGTTTGATAGTCACACTCCACGAGACCAGCTAGCTGCCCGATTTGGTCCCTTTGCTGGCTTTCTTACAGATACTGTAAGTAATCTAAGTGTTTGTCTGGATAGTTCATTTAAGCTGGATAAACAGGTTTCCTCAGTGGTTAAATCTGGCTTCTTCCAATTGCGCCAAATTTCAAAGGTCAAACACTTAATATCTGATCTTGAAAAAGTGATACAGGCCTTTGTGAATTCCAGATTCGATTATTGTAACTCGCTCTACTCTGGACTCCAACTTGCTCACCTCCAAAGATTACAGCTCGTTCAGAATACTGCGGCTCGTCTCCTAACCGGAACTAGAAAGTTTGCCTCTATTACTCCAGTGCTCTCTGACTTACATTGGCTGCCTATTACATTTCGTATTGATTTTAAAGTTCTGTTGCTTACTTTCAAATGCCTAAACAACCTTGCCTCTGACTATCTCACCGACCTCCTCAGTCTCTACAGTCTCTATACTCCCAGCCGTTCTTTACGATCTTCCGGTCAGTTACTTCTGGCCCAGCCCAGGCACTGCCTGAAGACTAGGAGTGATCGTGCTTTTGCCTCTATAGCACCAAACCTCTGGAATAGTCTTCCTGCTACCATTTGTGCCTCTGACTCCATTCAATCCTTCAAAAGCTTGAAAACTTGGCTTTTCCAACTAATTCTCACCGCTCATTAATTGCTGTATCGCTACTCATTTCTCTGGATAATCATGATCTCTCCCTATCTCTACTTACTAATGCTGTTTGTTTGTGTTCTCTACTTTCTCTATTTTACCTTGTTTTAATGACTTACTGTTTAGTGTAATCATTTACTGTTATTTTTACTGTGAAGCACTTTGGTGTACCCCCTGGCTTTAAACGTGATATATAAATAAAATTGTATCGTATAAGAAGACAGATGGTGTCGCTCCTTTTTACCTCATAGGACGCAATGTCCATTTTTTCCTAAATGTATTTCACATTTTGATTTGTCTGACTACTTTGCCTCAGTCCATTTTAAATGAGCTTTGACCCAGAGAGCAGTGTTTCTGTCACATCCACACTTGGCTGCTACTTTGTTTGCATGACCTATATCTGTAGATGGCACGGTGAACTATGTTCACTTACGGTGATTTCTAAAAGTCTTCCTGACCCTGTGCAGTGGTCTCCCCATCAGAATCATGGCTGTTATTTCATCCAGTGCTATCTGAGGGCCTGAACGCCACAGGCATACAAAATTAAGTATTGTCCTCCGTCCCTGCGCACAGAGATTTCTCTAGATTTTCAATTATTCATAGTCGTGGCAATTCTAAGATGAGGAACATTATTCAGATGCATTTTATTCCGGATAATTGCATTCTATCTATTGCCATTTAACATAATTAGTTTCAAAATGTTCTTACAGCTGCTTATTTTTCCATATTTTTTTTTGTTCCATCTCTCATATCTTTGACACATGTTGCTCCCATCGAATTAAAATCAGCTGACAGCTTCTGTTATAAGATTTGAAAATCATTGCGTTCTGTTTTTATTTTTTATTTACATATTTTTCTTTTTTTTACACTGGGCTTGGACATGCAAGTCTATAAATGCACTGAACTGGACAAGAGTATCAAGATAAATAAACAACAAAAGAAAAAAAATCAATTTTGCATTATTTGTCCTATTTATTTTCACTACTCTGTTTTCAGTTCAGTTTAGAGTCATTGCTTAGCGTTGTCATTTATGCTTGTGCTAGTTTCTCCTTTCCCTTTGAGTTCACCTCCTCTTCCTGTGGAGTGAAGCCGACAGAGATAGGTAAAGTAAAAATATTAAGTGAGTTGACAACAACACATTGTGTTCCCTTAAGTGCAACAAACGCTTCCAAAGCTTAAGAAAGTGAGAGAGCGAGAAAGGGAGAAGGCAACAGGGGAAACTGCGTCTTCGTATCTTCTCAGTTAGTCACGTTGTGAAGTACCTCTAAACTGCTGGCCCTTTGCTGCTAGCATCTTCCATGCTGTGTTACTTAGTGTGAGTGACTGCAAGTGCACATGTCTGCGTGTCATCACTTGTGTAATATTTCAGGCTGCTGCATCGCTTTCTTATCCAGATGGCTTCAGCAACAACAGACAGCTGGGAGTCCCCAACCAAGCAGCCTATTTCATCTGTTTACTCATCTTTGCTGATGCCTTGCAGCAGCAAGACAAATCCACCAGAACAGTCCAGAAAAATTATCAGGATATAATTTCTTTAGCATTTTTGCATTTAAAAAATGGGGCTAAATTGAGAGGAAGAGCTATGCCAGAGCTAGTTGAGGCTAAAAGCTGTCTAAAGCAACAGCTATAAAGACTTTCTACAAATCCAGGATGAGCTGAAATGATGGGGGAAATAACTGAAGTCTAAACAGGATATTAAAGTTGACATACTGCTCTGTCCATGTCTTAATTTGTTCTTCAGCTGAGCAGTGAGCTAAGACAGTCCAGGGATATAAACAATGAATCACTGTATTAGATTTTGCAACACAGAAACACACAGAGACATAAACAAGCACACACAGACGCACACATCATTTCCCTACCTGTGTCTCCTCCTGTACGACTCTGTACTGTTCCTTCCAGACAGCCATCTTTGTGGCCTCATCCTTCCTCAGCGCTCTCTCTTTCTTCAGCTCTGGACTCCAGAACGTCTTAATGGAGTTCATAGAAGAACTCAACTTGGACTCTTTGGCCTCTAGCTGTTGGAATACAAAATCAAGCACAGTGACTTCATGTTAATAAATGTGTTTATTTGTTTGCATAAGTAAATTCTCCTTATAGCTATAATCTTACAACAGCAATTCCCACAGGAGGTCACAATGAAACAAACAGAAGATATCATATGTTGCATTATAAATGAATTTATCTTCATAGGTGTGGGTGTACGAGTATAAGCGTTCTTACGTCTCTGCGCAGCAGTTCGTTCTCCCTCAGCACTTCTCTCAACTGAGTCTGAAGGTCTGACATTGCACCTTCTCTCACCTGAGAACGCACACACACACACAAACAGTATTAGTCCACTATGTTTTTCACC